TCCCGCAACTCTCTCTCTCCCTCACTCTCTTGGCTCTCTCTATCTCAACCCATCCGAGAGTTTTTCTTACCAATAAACATCACCATCATCTTTATCTCGTTGCTACGAACTCAACCATAGTCTTGACATCTTGGAAGTCGAACCAGGAAGCCCCGTGCACGAGCTCTGACGCATACCGACGGCTTTCGAGGCCATTTCCGGCCAAACCACGACGAGTTGGCAGGTGTGCAAGGTTCAATCTCTTCGTCTCGTCGAGTACTATAACTTTCATTTTTGTTTCACTCAATTTCGTTGAGTATTGAAGAAGTTAGACTCATTTGAATCTTACCCAGTTTCCGGCCACCTCCGAGGCTTTCGAGGCAATTTCCGGCCAAACCACAGTGAGTTAGACATCGTATGAGGTACCATTCTCTTCATCTCTTCAAGGGCTACAACTTTCGTTTTTGTCTCGCTTGATTTCGTTGAATAGTGATAAAGTTATGGCCGTTTAAAAGGAGTGTGGTTTTCCGGCCTATTTCCGGCTTTCTCTCCCATTGGGTCCGGCGACCCACCAAAACCCAAGGCTTTGGGCCTTCCCTACCGAGCCCAACCCTTTTGTGAGGCCTTAGGGCCAGGCTTTGTGTGTGTGTGTTATGAGGGCCGGCCTTTGGGCCCGTGTGAGTGTGTTTTGGGCTAGGTATGTGTGTGTGGGTTGTGTGGTGTATGTGTGTGTGTGTGTGTGTGCTGGTGGGTGTATATGTATGTTGTGTGGGTTTGGGCTCAAGCCCACACCACCACCCCCTTTTCGTTCCTAAAACCCTAAACCCTTGGGCTTTAGGACCCAAGCCCTAATCCGGATCCAAGCCCAAAGCCCAGACCCGTTTGACCTGGTCCGACCCGGACCTTGACCCGTTGACTGACCCGGTCTGACAGTTGACCCGGTCAACGTTGACCGTTGACTTTGACTGGTCAATGTTGACCGTTGACTTTGACTTCGGGTTGACTTTTCTGGTTTCATCCAGAAACCTTTCCTAGGCTAATTTCGACGTTTTGGACCCGTTTTTGAAGTCCGTTTTCCCAAATTCAATCGTTTGAGTAGAGTTTGACTAAATGGATCATTTATGTGCTTAGGTGAATTTACTGACGGCGGTTCCGTTATTCCTATTTGGTATGGCGTTGCACCAACGGTGTACGATGAGTGGACCCCTTCTAAAATTACATGATTTGATAATTTAATTGCATAAATGATTAGTATGCCCACGGATTTATGATTTGATTTATGTGAAGCCAGTTGATTTAATATATTAATTATCGTCTCGTGTTTTGTTGAGGAATTAATTGTTGGCCTATATTGAGCTATATTTTAATGTATCGTATTTTCTATAAAAACCATGAACTGGTAGACTATCTGATAGATGACGATAGGATGCTAGAACATGTTTTTGAACCCCTCTTTATAGTGTAGACGATGATCGGTAATCTATGCTACGAAGTGGTTATTTATGAGATGCGTAAATATTTGTGCGTACCTAGTAGACACTATGCCGCCTGGGGCGAGGAACTGGTGTTGGCATTTAGGCCGGGAGAAATAATCCCTAACTACGGGCTGAGGGACATGGAGCAGGTATTGGGCCGAGAGTTGGTAATCTCTGGCTACGGGTGCAGAGACCACGGAGCAGGCATTGGGCCGGGAGTTATATTTATTCGGTGATCTTACTAGCAGCACACCACGCTTATGAGACGATCTGTGAGACGATTCATGCTTTGGTTTTACGCGATGATTTATTTGATGTTTTCCGCGTTATGGCTTTTGAGATATTTTGGCATGCTAGGATTTTTATTAAATCCATCATTTATTATGCTAGTAGTTTTCATTATATAAAATGTGGGGGATAGTATCTTGATAATGGTTTTATTATTATATACATATGAACTTGGTCCACTTACCCTTGTTTTGCGCCCCCATTCAGAATTTAGAATCAAGGCACCTAATCCCGGCGTGAAGGCATTTTCGCAACAGCATCTTCGGATCCTCTCGATGTAGGACCCATTCTTTTATTCATTCAATTTTATCTAAATTCTTCTTAGTGATTAGGTTTAGTTGTATGCTCTGAGCACGTTCCTAAAACTTTTAACTCATTGTAATTCAAATTTCTAACTCTTATTTATTTCTTATTCTTAGCTTTTATATCGATTAATGACTTTCGTCACCCTCGGGTGTCGGCCAGCACGTGTCTATCCTGGTATTCGGGAAATATCAGGGTCGGGGCGTGTCAAACAGGATGGTATTCAGTGAACAGATTTCTGTTAGCGTAAATGTGCTTAGTAGCACCAATATCAAACAGTCATTCACTCACATTTGAGACCATGTTGACCTTGGACACAACAGCAGCCAATTCTTCATTGGTGGTTGCCATGTTAGCATGGTTGTTATTGTTTCTATTGGCATGATTTCCATCCTTGCGATGATAACAATCTTGTGCCTTGTGACCAGATTTGCCACACACACAGCATGCGCCCTTAATCTTCTTCAGATTCTTGCCTTTGGGAGTAAAGGAAGATTGTACAAATTGCTTGGTTTACGGAGCCTTACACTATATTTGGATGAAGAAATTTAAGATTACTAAGGAATTTTAAAATGACTGAAATTTAAATGACGAAATTTTATTTTATAGAATTTGTGAATTTTCTTGTTTGGGTAACCTAAAAGAACAATGGAATTGAATACAGAATTTGTTGTTTTTAAACTCTCAATTATAGAAATTGGAAAATAACACTTATTTACATGGAATTTAAACTTGGGAATTGAAGGTCCCAAATTTCAAGTTTTTTTTCCATGCGGAAATTCTAAATTTCTATATTTATGAACAAGGGAATTGGTGCATGTCAATTTATAAATTATGTCTTTAATTCAAATTCCAAGTTATTTCCCTCATCCAAACATAATGTTATTCTTCTTCGGCTTGGCCTTGGAGTTTCCTCTCTCAACATAATTTGCATTGGCTTCAATGGCAGCAAAGCCACCAGAACGGTATGCCTTTCTGTGGTCTTATTCCACTCGTAGCCTCATAATCAAATCCTCCATATTCATCTCATGACACTTCTGCTTGAGATAAATTTTGAAGTCATTCCAGGAAGTTGGCAACATTTCGATTATCGCCCCAACTTGGAAATGCTCACTGATCTCGCATCCCTCGGAGTGCAGTTCATATTTTTGGATTTCTTTGACTTGAGAGACAACAGATTTTGAATCCACCATTGTATATTTGAGAAACTTACCGATAACAAATTTCTTTGAACCGGCATCATCAATCTTATACTTTTTCTCCAGGGATTCCCACAACTCCTTTGCTGTCTTGCACAGAGAATAAATGTTGTAGAGATTGTCATCCAAACTATTCAGAATATAATTCCTGCATCAAAACTCGGAATGATTCCAAGCTTTAATTGGCATGACAGTCTCTTTCGTCATTGGATTCTCACTAGACTTTGAAGCTTCTTCCTTGACAACATGAGCGAGATTCATCGTTTTCAGGAAAAACATCTTCTGTTGCCATCTCTTGAAGTCCAGCCCTTTGAACTTCTCAGGCTTTTCAGAGTATTTTGGCACATCGCTATTCACATTCACAGATTGTTGATCCATAAATTTATGTTTCAAGAATGTTGGATATATGTGAACAATCTGTGATAAATTTATATATGCTAATAAATAAATAGTGTATGAGCAATGAAATAATATTAAACAGAAATATTGAAGATCGAGGCTTGCATACCGCAATGTCTTTGAAACAAAAATTTTGCCCCTACTCAGTGCTTGTAGTTCTACGGACATCTGCTTCACCAGGATTCAACGATCAAGTCAGAATTCCAGTGCCGGAAAACTTGACTTCTGGCGAATTTTTGTGTGGTTCTCTCAAAAAGGATATTTGTGATTGTAGAAGAAGAATATTGATTTTCTGTGTCTTAAATGCCATGCAGATAGATGCATATATATTGAGATTATATCTGTTCGCAATAAGTATGAGAATGGGATATGACTATTAGGAGATATCTCTTCATATGGGGTGTTGTGTTCTCTGCATTTTTTCATTGACTTCAGACTTCATCTGAAAAATGAGTCTGTTCAAATAAAAAATAATTAAATTTGATATTAATTAAAAACAATTAATTAAAGAATTTAATTTTCAGAGCCCCATGGCCCATCTTTTGATAATTAATTACGAATTAATTAGCACACTCAAAACCCAACCCCAAGGATGAGTCCAATTTTATTCTCCAAGGCCTATTACTCCATTTACTTTCTATAAGGGACAAAACCTTATAAAGTGAGAAAATCTTTTGGGAATGACCAATGTGAGACAAAGGAATTTCTACTCAAAATTTCCAATATTCCTCGTTTTGTACTTAAGTTGCCTCCTTGAAAATTTAGAGTGCTTACTATGTTGTATGTACTTGTAATTTCTCCAACCATTTATGATATAGCCAGATTTTGGATAGTAATTGTTGTACCATATATTGGACCTCAATATTTGAGCTTCATTACTTAGCTCATGATCTATGTAAGAGGGGAGAAAACCCTTATTCTATAAAAGGGCTCCCTCACACTCACTTAAGGAATGAGGGAAACATAGAGAAAGGGAAACATACAGAGGACAAACAAGAGAGGAAACAAAATAGCAAAGAGAGCAAACACTGCCTCTATAGCCTCAATGTATATTTAACATTCATTTACATAGTGAAACGGAATCAACACCAGTGTGGACGTAGCCTCAGCTTGAGGTGAACCACGTAATATCTTTGTGTTCTTGTGTGTTTGTGTGATTCATAGTCATATTTACTTTGGTCCAAGATTGGTCCGATTTTATGCATCAACATTTGACACCGTCGGTAGGAATCGACACGAAAAGCTCTCTACTTTTTTCATCTCACCACCATGAAACTCTCACAACCTCCACCGTAAATCTACAAAACCCAAGAACCCTATCCCTCACCTGCGAGTCCCTCTCCTCGTTTCTCTCACGATGAGAGGCTTAATCTCAAACGCGAAACTCCTGGCAAGCAGCAGGCCATGGGCCTCATCTCTGCGCAGCTACATCTTGATTCCGATGGTCATTGAGCACTCCTCCCGAGGGGAACGCGCGTACGACATCTTCTTCCGCCTCCTCAAGGAGCAGATCATCTGCACCAACGGCCCCATCAACGACGACACCTCCCACGTCGTCGTCGTGCAGCTTCTCTTCTTGGAATCCGAGAACCCGTCCAAGCCCATCCACATGTACCTCAATTCTGACCGTGAAGAAGTGCATGGTAGTTGGGTTTAGTTACAATGGGATGGTAGCGTTTAAGCTAGCCGAGCTCTACCCGGACCGGCCTAGGTTCTTGTACTGCATATTATTCGACACCATTGCAGACACTGTAAGTCTGCGAGGAGTCAAGTGATGGGGAGTGGATCGGCCTACGAAACCTAGACGAAGGCGCTGCAAACTCGCCAAGACCACCAGTGGAAAACCAACGAAGAAGATGACTCTCCTTCTAATTCATGAACTAGTTTATTATTTAATAATTTATTATTATTTTGTGTTGGTCTTGTTACTGCAGCGTTTGCTTTACATCTGTGTGTATATTCGTTAACGGGAGACCACATCATACATTTGCTTTACAGCGTTTGCTTTACATCTGCGTTTTCTTTACAGCGTTTGCCTTACATTTAGCAATATATTATTTGTTTTTATGATCTGTGTATATATAGTGCATCCCCATTGTCATTATATTAAGAGAATTTTAACGTCATTATATTAAGAGAATTTTAACGAAAAATTTCAGGTACGGTTTATTTTAATGAAAAATCACATTTTTACCCTAAAAAGTTAATCCTGATACTATTCATTTTATCTTTTATTTTATCTTATTGTTAAAACTCAAAATTTTCAAAATATTTTCATTAGTTTTCCTTTATATTAAAACTACACTCCTGCTGTGTGCACTGTACGAGAGGAAACATCATTATGTTTTCTCAATATCATCATCTATTTAATATTTTATTATTAATATTTTATGATATTTGTTGCTGTGTGCACTGTACAAGAGGAAAATCATTATGTTTTCTCAATATCATCATCTATTTAATATTTTATTATTATTATTTTATGATATTTGTTGTTGTGTGCACTGTACAAGAGGAAACATTATTATTTTTCTCGATATCATCATCTATTTAATATTTTATTATTATTATTTTATAATATTTGTTACATGTGCACTGTACGATACTACCCACAGAGGAAAAAGGAGATAGGATGTTTATCTTTTGTTATTTCATTATTATCATTTATGTCTGACAGCTCATTATTTAAAATTATTATTGCTTTATATGTAACTATAATAAAACCGTACAACCACTACAACATTTACATTATGTAATTATTTTATCACCTCACATGACTATTTCCTATGGCAAGTCTGACCACATCACAAATACTTATATTATTTGAATGGTTGTGGTGAAATACAACTGTTTGTGGCACAATATATTTATATACCTCCCTAATAGTCATCATGTGTAAGATTATTATCGTCAGATTGTCTTCCATTATTTTTCGCTAGTGACACATATTTGGCCAAGTACTTGAGCAATATTCATTGCCTAGTGATATGTGGGGCCTTTAATTATGTCACTACCACACAACTGAATAAATTATTTATTTGTAGTAGGCACATAGTACAATATTTTGCCTTGACAAACTTTGTCAATTTGATTTATTCATTATGCATTCATACTTATACGATCATTTATTGTCAGGAATTATTGAGCAACTAGCTTTATTGATCAACATTGTTGCTGATTAACGAAGCCTACCAACACTATTGATCAGCCTATGGATCACTAAGCCACATGCTTATGGTGACAAAGATTTAGTCTAAACGATGATCTCTTGTCTGACCGGACACCCACTTGCTCAGACACTCGCTTATTTGGACACTTATGTGCTTGGACACTCGCGAGCTTGGACACCCATTCGTTCGGGCACTTACGAGATTGGACACCCTTGAGCTCGAACCCCGATTCACATATCCTACGGATGGCCCCAACTCAAAGACCCGACTTGTGGACCCAAGAGTTAACTCATAATGAGCGCACGCTGACGTCGAGTGCATACTCGCAACGAGGAACGCCACGAGCCGAGCCGCCTTCCAACGAGCACCACCTCTAGCCAAGCATGTCATGCCCTGATCCCGACATACGTCCAGGATCAACACGTGACTTCACAAAAAACTCGTATCCCAACATACCCCCGCCTTCGGAATATGGCAAATCACAACTCAAGAGTTGAATTCACATAGAAATTTTTCATATAGTTTATGGATGCATCTAACCTCTTCGTTAGATTGCCTACGTACCCTCAATAAGAATCAAGCCATTCGTAGTTCAACTTCGCTATAACTTGACATAAAACACAGTCCGTTCAAGCCAAAAGACATAACATTCCTCAATCAAACATTTGGACTTTACAAGCATGAATTATTCGATTCAAGCTACATAACAACCCACATGACAATCAAGGTTTCTATTTCATCCATCATATAAATCATTATGTTTCACATAATACTGCAATTCATAGTATATAACATATCAAAGAACCAATGAAGCACAATATTATTCTCAATTCACAATGATCACTGATCTAATCGTATTAATAACAATCATATTCAACATCATTCCACAATCACCTCAAGTAACCCATTCCATGAAACAAGGATGCATGATCTTAGCATTTATCTACGTTAATCGATCAATATGATAACATATCTTTTCACGAATTTAATTAAAGAACTCTATATAATTCCCTACTTGGGTTATGAGCAACAGTACGACAAATCTAATTTATATTCACAAGGTTTAATGTGAATAATTCCCATTCATTTGAATTTAGGGTTCTAGACTAACATTTTGGAAATGTGCACGAGTAAGGATTCCGGACCACTCAACGGAATCCCACCACATCGGGTTTTGAACCACTCAACTGAACCAAAATATCAATTGGTTTCTCGTAATTTACCCAGACCTGTTGCATGTAAAATCAGTGCCATCGATCACAGTTTATTAATCTCAAATATAAGTTCGTAAATATGAATACATAGTCAAGTCTCTAATAACTCCAAAGGAGTCACCCAGACATCCAACGGCCTTTTAAATTCAAACCACAAGATTCTCAAAATCCATTGTTCATATGTACATTAAAAACTAGGGCTAGAATGATGCAGTTCAGCCGAAGTCTACATCTTTGAAGCTATCTCAATCCAAATTCAATAAACCCCAAGGTGAACACGATCCCTGACCATCTCTCAACAGAATCACGAAGTATGAGGGATCCCGGACCCTCTTAACAGGATCCAAGTGGGTATGATTCCGAACCATCACTCAACAGAATCGCGGAATACAATGCATAATCACCACTAAATGAAACCCAAGTTAGATACGATTCCGGAACATCACTCAACGGAATCGCGGAGTAGAAGGGATTTCGGACCATCTCTCAACGGAATCCGAGTAGATACGATTCCGGACCATCACTCAACGGAATCCAAACAAGCATATGATTCCCCCATCAAATGTACCACGTACAACTAATCCTTCTCACTTCTAGAATGCATATGGTCCCCCAACGCAAATATACCAAGCAAGACCATTAGTGACCCCCCAACGCGGATTAACCAAGTGCGATCCATATAGTATAGTCCCCTAATGCGGATTAACCAAGTAGGACCATCCATGTACCACTGCTCAATGTGCAGTAAATTCAACACACATTATACATAGTTGTACGCATACACGTTATCGATTCCACGTATCAACCAAGCATCTAGTCATATGGAGTACAACACAAGAAATTCCCTTAATTCCTATTTCTACTAAAAAAACTAATAAAGTACCTGACTCATCTTCTGACTTTCATCTCTATCCCACACTAGGTAGTAATGCTAAGTTCATATAGGTATTCAGTTGGCAATCATATCCAAATAATTATCAAACAATATTTAGATCCCAAATTAATACGAATAATAAAGAATAACACTTATAATGGAGTTTCCCTAGAACCTCCTACCTTGTGTTCGACTATCTTTGTCAACACAAGTCCTCCAAACTTTCCAGCACAACATCTAAACCAATTTACAAACGCATAAACAAATGAAAACAAACACAAGTAAATGCATATTAGCAAGCATGGAAGCGAGTAATTACAAATTATTAACTTGTGTAGCATAGACATTATTTTAGTGCAACTTATACTTCAAATAACAACACTAGTATAAATCAAAAGTAATTTAAAGAAAAACAAGAGAATGATTGAGTACTAAAGAAACAATACTCCTCCACAAAAGCTGCATAAAAACTGCTTTGATCAACCAAATTGAAACTCACTTTTGAAAGCTCAATCCTGAATTAAATGGTACGAACTTAAATGTTTTTGGAGACATGTTTGGTGTAATTTATAACCACATAATGTTGGTAGAAAACAGAGCTCTAAATTGGAAGTAATGCCAATTATAAAATGGATCCCAAAACTAGAAATGCAGAACTTGTTGTCTGGCAGCTTTGTGACTCAAATTTGATCATAGTTTTGGTCAACCAAAACTCAATGGAATTAAGTGAAATCAGATGGTTTTGATCATGGACATGTCTATTTTCAAAACACACAATATTAGTTCAAATGAGCTCACAAGGACATAGAAATCAAGAGCCAAAGTAGGCTAATTGAAACATAGTTTCCCTCTGCAAAATGAATAAGTTTTCTGCAATGTAAAACCCATACTAGTTTAATCCAATTTACAATTTCAGGGCAATCCCAAACTATCCAGGAATCATATTCAACTTCTATTTCAATGTGTTAGCTTACCTATAACATGCTTAATTCTTCCTCTTTTAGCCAAAGACTACAAACAATTCAATAAAATTAAAGTATGTATCATTTCTTGTTCTTGTCCTGCCCTCCAAAGTCGTTCATCAATCTCCACTTAGCTACTAAGCTCTTGAATCAATGTTACCACCACAACTCCCCATCAAGAACACCAGAAATTCAAGTTAAACCCATAAATCTCAAACTTGTGGGAAAATAAAACTTGAAATTCGGAAGATCCACTTACATATCTTGGAAGCGCATGAAGAGAGGAGTATTAATCCCTATTGGGTCATGACCTATCTCCGGCGAGGTTAGCCGAAATAGGCGAAAAAACCACAAAAGCCGTCGAAGCTTCTAGGCTTCAAAATATGGGCATGTTTGGTTCCATCATATGGGTTTGGTATCAATTTGAAGAGCGCTTCGCTACGAATACATCGGTTTCGACCGTGTGTGATTTCGTTGCCGTACTAGAAAGTTATGATTCCATGAAATTTTTGGAGTGAAGGAGAATTAAAGGGTAGAAGAATCAGCAGCCCCCTTGGTTTTTCACGCAGGAAAGAAGAAAAAGGAAGTCCTTAGCTTCTAGAAAGTTTCACTTGAATTTACTAAAATGTTCGTAACTATACCGTTATAATCTGGACTCGCAAACGGCTTTCGTCTAAACATTCGTGGTTTCAAGATCTATTCAAAAATATAAATTGTGACCTCAAACGGTCTACAGATTTTAAATAATTAATTTCCAAACTTTAAATTTCGTAACTGATTTAATTAAAATCTAAATTCAAACAAATTAAAATAAGTTCTCGAGAAAT